TTCCCAAGTTATTATCACAAAACAATTTTTAACACATAAAAAATGTGTCCAAACAATCACAAAATTTTCCCTAGACTCTACTAGGACTTCTTCTATGCGTATCTTCAATCATCAATTCTGCTTCAGCTCGGTGGAAATACCATACGATGGGTCAACTTCATGAATTACGCCAATAATTCCATCATCTTGCCAATCGAAGGTGTACTTCGGACGTACTGTACTCCTCTAAACGTACAGCATGACATATTTTAAAGGCAAGATACCACTCTAATGATATCTTTCGATAAGTGTCATTCACTATCGTAAGCCTTTTCATTTCCTCCACTTACTCAATTCTCTATGAGTCCTTATCATGACATTCTATTCTCCAAAGCAAGAGTTTGATGTATCGAGACGAGAATATAGATAGAGGAAGAATTAGACACGTATTCCTCCTTATTTCTCCAAAAAGTTACATGCCAGTTCTAATATCGTAACTAAACGTTTAGAAACCTGAGCACATAAAATTTCCAGATCCGGTCAGCAACAGACCATAGATCCGATCATATAATGTATATCATAAATCATTTAGCACATAAAATCATGTTAGGAATTTTCCCTAGATAAGCTAGTGCTTGTGTCTATTCAGGTGCATTACCTAAATCTATTTGACACACTCCTCACAATCATTACTTAGCATTCTAAGTTTAAGTTTAGAAATAAATCCATATTCCTAGTTCGCTTAAATTAATGCTCTGATACCAACTGTGACATCCCCAAAATCACGGCCAGAAAAGACCGATTTTGTTTATGCTTTATGAAAATCAGAGTACTTCATTTTATAAAAAGGTTGCGGAATTTGTTCCCAGAAAAACACGATAAATACGTTATTAAAACATTTTCGAAGAAACGTATTTTTATTCATCTTAAAACGTTTGGGATGTCATCGTTAATACAGAAACATAAGCATAAACAGAACTTACAATTATTTACACTAGTGATCTACATCTCTTTAAATCTCTCAGTGTAACGTCACTTCATTTCATCACCTGTGATATACATAAACTGAGTGGGTCAGGTTGGGAAACCTGGTGAGTACATAGGGTTTTCAACCCACAATAATATAATTATTATGTTTAAACAATCAACCCAATTACCCATCCCCATTATCTTCTTTAGTCTTAAGGATCTACCCTAAGAATCAGCTATTCCTCGTTTATTTATTCCTAAGGATCATCCTAAGGAATCGACACGAAGTCCATCATTACCAAGGCTTATAGAATATATCTGGTGAACACGTAGTCCGAAACATCTGGTAAACACTTAGTTCAAAAGTAACTAGTGAACACACTTAGTTCAAAATACTTAGTGAACACACTCAGTTCAAAGATACGTAGTAAACACACTCAGTTCAAAAATACCTAATGAGCACGTAGTTCAAAATACCTACATGATACGAAACTGCTATCGTTCCACTGGACCGTCTAGTATCGTCCATAGTCGTCATCTATACTCCACTAGATGACTAGATCACTGACAACACTGATGTCTCCCATCGTGTTATCACGAAACAACTATTTCATCTACCCATGTTTTTCCCAAAACGTTTTGTAGATATAAAATACGTATACAGTTTAAATCATTTAAAACATGTATAAAAATCTTTCACTCAGTATAGACAGCAAGTATCCAGACAATATGTACATATAGCACGTAATTTATATTAAAATACTTCATATCTATGTGTAAGATGAAAGGGAATATGCACTCACAACACGTAAATTATATAATAAATACTTCATATCTATGTGTAAGATGAAAGGGATCATGCACTCACCTGAGTAGGTGGTGACTCAGCACTCGGACAGCGCTTCGATACTCTCAAAATGATATTCCTTCGATAAAACCTAGTATTGATACCACTAGGGTTTAGTCTAATGATAACCGCGACAAAGTAATTATCTGACTATTATTATTATTATATAAGCGTTAATAACACTCAATATAACTCATAATAATAGCCTAAATACTCATTATAAGTTCCTAATAATGTTACTATATTAAAACATAAGCTATATTAAAGATACCGTAGGCATAGCTTACTTACAGCGGGTTTTTCGCAAAACCGGGCTTCGCTGGAGCAGCGTTCCCGAGCCGAATGGCTCTTTTCTCGGGACTCCGGGAGCCTCGGGGCTTCCTTCGGGTGCTAGGGGGTTTACCTAGGCTTTTAGGGGGGTTAGGGAGCTTAGAGAGAGAGTTTAGAGAGAGAAAGAAGAGGGGTGAGGGGTGAGGAAATGAGGGAACCCGGCACCTCTATTTATAGGGTTGGATTCTGATGTACTCGCCGAGTAGGGGGGACCTACTCGCCGAGTTGGTCCATGTGGTGGCCTTCTGGTGGTGCCACGTGTCCAATTATGGTGGTGCCACGTCACCCCTATCGCGTGTCAGCCCTCAAACTTAGAAAAATCATAACTTTCGCATACGAGCTCCGTTTTCGACGTTCTTTATATCCACGCGTAGGTAAAATAAAGATCTACAACTTTCGTTTAGACTCCGTCAGCTAGTTCTCGACCGATCTCAAATTTAACACTAGGAGGCGTTTAGACTGTTAAATGACCGCGAAGAGTTCATAACTCCTTCATACGGACTCCGTTTTCGTCTGTCTTTTTACCGTTGAGTTCCTATGAATGAGATCTTCAACTCTCATTTAGGTCGCGTAAGCCAAAAACCGCTCGAACTAAAATTCGAGTTTCGGGCCGTGCACTACTAAGCCGAATCTTAGAAAAATCATAACTTCTTCATACGAAGTCAGATTTAGGCGTTCTTTTTTATCGATGTTCTGAGTTTAACATATTATACAACTTTTGTTTAGATTGATAAGGCTAAAAAGTCTTCTATCGTAAATTCACTATTTACGTTTCCCGGTGCCGTGCCGGTTTTGCCGTAAAACTTCGACGGGCCATAACTTCTTCGTTATAACTCGGATTTTGGCGTTCTTTATATGTACGGAAAGCTTGAGACATATTCCAAGACTTGGTTAAGATTATTTATTCTAATTAATCTTTTGTCGAAAAGTCATTTTCGACCCCTATTGCCTCTAAATTGACTAGCCCGGATCTGCGGGCGTTACAACTACTTGTTATTTTTGGTTGCTTTGTTACTACATAAGACAACAACCTGGTAATATTTAAATAATTAATCACTACCTGTTTAGGGATACTTTTTGGTGAACACCAACTGTTTGATAAAATGCCCCAATGAGTGACTCTTGTGTTTTCATGCTATATTATATATTTTGAGCAAAGAACTACAAATGTTTTTATTTAATCTGAAGTGTAATGTACAATAGAAATAACATTGAGGTAGATTACATGTATTGTTCTTTTATGTATTATTGTGTTTTGAAGTAATTCTTGCACATGGAAACTATGTCAAAATTAGTTATAAGAATTTGCATTGATTACTCAAAATCCTCAGTCTAGTAAAGTTTATAAAAATTCAAGATGGTATTTGACGTATGTGGCCAGGAATCATACATTTTTTGCAAAACTTTTGCTTCAGTTCAGATTCCCCTCGGAGTCCCATACTATTACTCCTGATAAGTCTCATGGAAAAGCCATCATGGTTGTTGAAGATAATGAAACAGAAAAGCAGCAAGGAGATTTCTTGGACATAACGATGTTGTTGAGCCTCTTGAATCAACCCCTTTATTTGAGAAGTATTGCACATCTTGAGCAGGTAGAATTTGCACATTCTTTTCTTTTGGTAAAATCTTAAATGTATTTTTTTTCTTCTTCCCTAATTGCTATTTGATCTGCTGTGTTTCAGTTGCTGAACTTGTTAGATGTGATCATTGACTATGCAGAAAGCAAGCAAGTTCCTGCTCCTGAAGAATCACATGTTCAGATATCCACTACAGAGAAAAGGGAGAGACTATTTTTGTCTGGATAAGCAAACAAGCTCCTACTCCTGAAGAATCACATATGAGACATGAGTTAGCCTCTGAAGAATCACATATGAGACATGAGTTAGCCTCTGAAGAATCACCTGTTCAGATGTGATCATTGACAATGCGGAAATCAAGCAACCAAATAAAAGGATTTATAACCTTGGAAATGAGTTACAACCTTGTAGTGGATGCTTAAAAAAGACAAGGTCAAAACTGATATGATACACAAATTACGTGTTGCATCTAACAAGTCCTTTAACTTCACCTTTTGCTTTGGAGTTCTATCACCACTGCAAACGAGTGAAGTATGTTTCTATCTCTTGAAATTTTCCCTAATTTATAAAACAAAAATAAGGTTATAAATCTTATCGACGAACTATAGCAATTACACAACGAAGCTCTTCAGCTTGGCCAAATGAGCCAATGATTCCACTGCCTTGACGTGTTAGTCCTTCAGAAGGCTGAGCCGGCTCATCATTTTTCTTATGGTCATATGTTGATCTTTTTTCTTTAGCAACAAATTCTCTTTCAAAAAAATAGCAACAAATATGTTAAATTTCTGAACATGACCATTTTGCCCTTGTATTCTTCATCTCTTTCATTTCCATGTTCAACAAGTAAGCCTAAAGAAATTAAGATCTCTCCTTAAAAAAATTGCATCTAATATCTGATATGTATAAAAGATATAGTTGTTCACAATAAGTAATTTTTTACTTCAGATCATTTGAAAGACGCTGATGCATTTCATGTGAATAGCTTTCAAAGTAATTTTTCTTCATTGAACCTCCTTCCAAAAACTCTTGCAAATGGAACACCTTCGTCTTCATTCAGAGGCTCTCCTTATGATATATTCTTGTATAGATGAAAAGATAAAGCTAGTGCTCTGTAATGTTTCCTCATAGTATTATCATATGCTAATGAGCTCACACCAAGAATTCCATAAAAATCCAATTCACCGTTTATTTTGTTTTCAGCAGCAACATACACATCTAGAACTGCTACAAGTTGGGAAATTCCATCAAGACCTGGATACAAAGTTTAGGCCTTTAAAGTAAATTTCTTGGCCCCCATCATGTCCTTTCTAGAGAATTTTGATTCAACAATTTCTTTAGCCCTTGTAGCTTCATATATATTGCACTCCATTATTCCTTTAAGAAATAGATTTGGACAATTGCACATGGGTTCACTTGTTATTTCAGGTGATGGTTTTCATCTTACAAATGTAATTTCATCTTGTTATTTCTGGTGATGGTTTTCATAAGAAATGGTATTTCACTAATAATCAGCCTCCTTCTAAAATAGAAAAAGGTTGTCCCCAACTACCTTGTCCCTCCTGCATACAGGTAATGGTCTAGACATAACAAACAGATAATTAAAAAGTACAAAAGACAAAACTACCTTTCATATATGTTGGAACTCAGAACGACTTAATGTTTTTGATTTATAACGTATTTTTGCATTAGAGATGGTTTTCCAGAAATTGATTGTTCTGTATGCAATGTCTATTTCATCGCTGAATTCGTGTTAATAAATTGTGTATATGCTATTTAGCCGAAGATGGTGATCAGCCACAAGGCAAGGATGGGAGATCCGATGCTACAGGATCTCTATGCTCCGATGATAGACTCAGGGCTGAGGTAATTATTTCTGTAAGGTTATAATAGGCTCAAGTATCTTTAACTCGCTTTAACATCAACATTCAAGTGTAAATGTCAATACTAGAGTTAAGCAGAAAGACATGTCTGATGTCTCTAGAAGGCGAAAAGTAACAGGAAATGCTATACACAGAATTTGAGTATTAAGTTCAAAAGATGGCTGAATGTTTCAATAATATGTCTTGAAGCATTAAGTTCAAAATATGGCTGAATATTTTTGTAATGCTATGATAGGCTCAAGTATATGTGTTGCCTTTTAACGTTTGTAGAGCCCTTCTCTATCTTTTCTACTTACTCTCTTCTGAATTTTCATTTGATTTTCAACAGGCGAATTCACATAATCTTGCACAGGAGAATGGTGTAAATGATTTCCTTCCTCTTGGAAACTTAGAGAAAGTTGTAAAAGAAATTGCTGATCAGCCACTTCCACTTGTTGATGGGATTGAAGATCAACTTGTGGAGTTTTCGATAGCCATGAGAAGTATGATTTCTTTCATTCAGGTGAAATAAAAGTAGGATGCTTTTGTTAATAATAAGGTTTGTGTCTGATCCTTGTGGTTTATGTCACTGATAAGCAGTTGCCAAGGTTTTAAGAGAAGCAGCAGAAGCTAAAGCTGCTGCTCAAGCTGAGGCTATAGAATGGAAACACAAATATGAATTGGAAAGAGAAAAGAATCTGCAATTGGAACAAAAATATGAACAAAAGTTGACAAATGTTTCAATTTTGATCTAAAAATGGGAAAATCAGAAAGCTCAGGGACCATTTTTTTATAATTTACCCTAAAACATATTATTATGTGCATTTTATTGAATCTTGAAATTTGATCTGTATGTCATGACATCTTATATCATTGTGCAAAAGCTTTACTAGTATATTATTTGGAAATCTTATAAGATCATAAGAATATTATTATGTGCATCTTATTGAATTTTACATTTGCTCTGTATATCATGACATCTTACCATTATGGCAAAGCTTTACTAGCATCTTATTTTGAACATTTGTAGTTTTTTTACTTACTATTTTCTTAGTAATTGAAGTATATATCCACAAAACCATTTTTTTCTTCCATTTTAGGTCCAACATTTGCTAAGAATCTTGGAAACTTTGAGCAAAAAGTAGGAGGCTCAGGATCCATGAAACACTATCCAATTGAGCTTGAAAATAGTGAAAAATCTCAGAGGTGTTGTGGAGAAAATGGGATTTGCTCTCATGTAAGTTTTTGATCAATGTTCAAGTATTGATATTGGTCTAATTTATAAAGTCATACTTAATCTTCTTCTGATGCTTACTATAAGGGTATTTTAGTCATTTCATCAGTTTTATGTCTCATTAGTTACCTACCTAACTTAGGCACTTAACTTATCTAATGATGCCATAATCAGTATGATGCATTAGTTGAGATAAATGAGGTCTGTATGGTGAAGTAAGTAGTAAATGAAAAAAGTTGTTCCTTTTTTGCTCTGAATGAACTGTAAATGACCATTTTACCCCTTTAACATAGATTCATAAATTCCATGCTTACATATTGGGATTTGTTGGTTTATATGAATCTAATGGTTGCATTATTCAAATTTGTAGGTCTTGTTGATGTGCATAGTGTCAAGCAAAGTAGCTCGAAATGTTATCAAGGTGGACAACAAGTTTTTCTAGTTCAACTGTTATTTGTTGAAGACTTTCATCTCTTTCACATTTGATGTATTACATTTGTCTACTATTAGAATGATTATTTGTATGACATTAACTTTTGTGCAATGGATTGTATTTTTTGTATATGATATTTTATTTTCTATTATGAGATATGAAATGTATATTTAATTTGAAAATTAGTAAATCTATAAATATATATATATTTTTTAAATTTACAATTACGATACGTAAAAATGTGTGTTTGGAAATTAGTAAATCTAGTAAATCTCATACTTACTTGGCCAATTGATGTAGTAAATATATATATATATATATATATATATATATATATATATATATATATTTAAATTTAAATATATATTTTTTTAACTTATATATATATATATATATATATATATATATATATATATATATATATATATATATATATATATATTAAATTTAAAAATTAGTAAATCTAGTAAATCTCATACTTACTTGGCCAATTGATGTTTGAGGCTCTATAAGACCCTAAGAAGCAATTCTACTTAATGGCTTGGTCTTTGGAAGAGTTTAGGGCATTATATAACTCCTTTTGGGAGTTCACGGCCCTAGGACCAAATCCCATGGAGATTACGGCCGTAATCTCCCTTGGATGGGTGTTTTGGTGTTTTCAAGTCCTTAATTTAACTAGGAACTAAACTAGGCTAGTGTACAAGGCTTTAGAAGAGTTTATAGCACCATTTGGCACTATTATTTGGAGTTCATGGCCCTGGGACTTGTTGGGCCATGAAAACCTTACTCTTGGTCTTCTATGGGTGTTTGCTAGTCCTAAACTCATTAGGGTACATGTATAAACTAGTCTCTTGGCTTAAGGAAGGCTTTTAGGGCATTTTGGCAACCTCAAATGGAGTTCACGGCCCAAGAACTTCCTTGGCCGTGAACTCACTTCTAGCCATTGTTTCTAATTGATTTTGTGGTCTAAACATGTAATGGTGTCTTCTAGTTTGAGTTCCAAGGCTTTGTGGGACATTGGGCACACTTTGGCCCTTAAAAAGGAGTTTACTCTCCAAGTGTTCTTGGGCGGTAAACTCCCAAATCTTGGGGTTTTGATCCGATTTTGATGTTATAAAACACAATCTAAGCTATATAATATAACTAGATAGAAGCACTCATGATTTGGGATAAAAACCCAAAGATCCATGAGAGAGAATTCAGCTTTTCTCTAGTTAGAAATGCAACTAATGAATGAATATGGTTCAGATTTCTATATATAGCCCTTAGATTTTTAGCAGAAAATATTTTATTCCCGGAATGAACTCTAATATCATAGAGTATTGGAATAACAGTGTTGCACAAAACCCTAGTGCATCCACACTCCTGATATCTCCTTAAGTGCTAAACCTGAAATACTCAAACTTATACCCAAAATCTGAAATTTCACTGTAACTGTTCTAACTTCTATTGGTATGACATGGTTTGTTCAGAATGAAAATTTCAGGTTGTCACAATTAGTTCTAGTAAGATAGTCCTCCATTAGATCAACCCGTTGATCGGAGTGATCTGATAGTAACATAGGAGTTTTTATGGATGAATTGAGAAGATTTGCGTAGTTGATCATCATCGAGGTGTTCAAATTTGCCATTGAAACAAGTAAATAGGATCTTAAGCTTTAAATAACATTGAAGAACTAGATTTTAAAAGTGGGATACAAATATAAGAAAAAAGTTATGATTTGTTATTAAATACAAATGAATTTTTCTAATGAATCGAGAGCATCTCTCTTTGATACCACTTGATGAGTATTTAAGTCAAGAACAACTATGAAACAAATGTAAAATATGAACATGAAGATGTAGATATTACATTATGCTCTTTGATTAGATGAAAAGAAAGGATTACAATCAATATCTCCAATAACAGATATGTTATGAGCATGTGTAAAAACTCGTGTATATAGGCATGCGAACTATAGACTCATCTAATCTTAAACTAACACGTGGGCATTTGACAGTTAAGCTCAACAAATTAGCTAAGTCTAAAATACGACCTAAGCACTTCGGACGATGTGATAAACAGATGTCAAAGGAACTTAATAAGTTCTACCAACTACTTCAGCATAAACAATCCTCACTTCGAAAAACACTTTGACTTTAGGTAAACATGACTTCATATATAAAATAAGCTTCAGAAACTTCACAACCAACACTATATAAAGTTTTGGAGTTCATCTTCAAAAGAAGGGTAAATTACACGCATGGTCCTTATGGTTTGGGGTAGTCTGCATATTTAGTCCCTAACTCGTTTTTTAACTCGGATCATCCATACAGTATGATATTATTGCGTTTTTGGTCCCTAATCAATATTAAAAGCTTGATTTAACGTAAATTATTTATTTTTTACTTTTTTATATTTATTAATATATTTAAAAGAAGGAATAAAACATGGGCCCTAATTTTTCCACGCCCTAATTTACATGAATGATCCTTATGGTTTGGAGTAGTCTGCACATTAAAAAACTGATTTACCTTTGCTAAAAGCTTTACCTTTGCTAAAAGCATTCACGTGGGTTTAAAAAAATGATTGAATCAACGGTGATTGATTTCAACTGCCAAATCAGAATTTATGAGTGATATGCCATTCCAAACAAAATTTCATTTAGTGGCACAAGTTTTTAACGACTTATTAGTCTTTGTGTCACTATATTATCCTTTTTTTTTGGCACATATTCTTTTTGTGCCACCTTTCGCATCTATTTTCATTTTCCTCTTATTCCAAAAAAAAAAAAAAAAGCTTTCCGCCATACCAAATTCAGTTCATTTTCATTTTCAACGTTTTATTTCCTTCTAATCCTCAAATTTTCGACCTAATTTCCCTCTACTCCTACATCTTTGTTTCTTAATTTTGTGCAACTGCAAGTGCATTTCATTCGGCAAAGAATTGTGATGTTTCTTCAAATTCAGTTCATTTTCATTTTCAACGTTTTATTTCCTTCTAATCCTCAAATTTTCGACCTAATTTCCCTCTACTCCTACATCTTTGTTTCTTAATTTTGTGCAACTGCAAGTGCATTTCATTCGGCAAAGAATTGTGATGTTTCTTCAAATTCAGTTCATTTTCATTTTCAACGTTTTATTTCCTTCTAATCAAATTTTCGACCTAATTTCCCTCTACTCCTACATCTTTGTTTCTTAATTTTGTGCAACTGCAAGTGCATTTCATTCGGCAAAGAATTGTGATGTTTCTTCAAATTCAGTTCATTTTCATTTTCAACGTTTTATTTCCTTCTAATCCTCAAATTTTCGACCTAATTTCCCTCTACTCCTACATCTTTGTTTCTTAATTTTGTGCAACTGCAAGTGCATTTCATTCGGCAAAGAATTGTGATGTTTCTTCAAATTCAGTTCATTTTCATTTTCAACGTTTTATTTCCTTCTAATCCTCAAATTTTCGACCTAATTTCCCTCTACTCCTACATCTTTGTTTCTTAATTTTGTGCAACTGCAAGTGCATTTCATTCGGCAAAGAATTGTGATGTTTCTTCAAATTCAGTTCATTTTCATTTTCAACGTTTTATTTCCTTCTAATCCTCAAATTTTCGACCTAATTTCCCTCTACTCCTACATCTTTGTTTCTTAATTTTGTGCAACTGCAAGTGCATTTCATTCGGCAAAGAATTGTGATGTTTCTTCAAATTCAGTTCATTTTCATTTTCAACGTTTTATTTCCTTCTAATCCTCAAATTTTCGACCTAATTTCCCTCTACTCCTACATCTTTGTTTCTTAATTTTGTGCAACTGCAAGTGCATTTCATTCGGCAAAGAATTGTGATGTTTCTTCAAATTCAGTTCATTTTCATTTTCAACGTTTTATTTCCTTCTAATCCTCAAATTTTCGACCTAATTTCCCTCTACTCCTACATCTTTGTTTCTTAATTTTGTGCAACTGCAAGTGCATTTCATTCGGCAAAGAATTGTGATGTTTCTTCAAATTCAGTTCATTTTCATTTTCAACGTTTTATTTCCTTCTAATCCTCAAATTTTCGACCTAATTTCCCTCTACTCCTACATCTTTGTTTCTTAATTTTGTGCAACTGCAAGTGCATTTCATTCGGCAAAGAATTGTGATGTTTCTTCCTGATCATTTAGGCGTGAAATCTAACCTAGTTTTATCGATCGCTTGCATACCTCGTTGTCGAACGGGAACTAGTTTCAGTCAGAGGTCTTTTAGGCATGACTTCAAACTAGTTTGTTTATCGCTGATAAAGTGTTGCCAAGCTAGAGCTCATTTAATCAAAAGTATGTATTGCATTCTCTACTCTGTTATCTTTATATGTATATTGTTTGAACAATTGATTTGAGTAGCTTTTTTTTTGTGTATTATCATTCAAGATGAATATGGCGTTATGTGGTAAATTTATATGCATACTATGTGTTTGATAAAATGCATGTGTGAAACTTTGTTCAGTAAGCACCAAGTTACCTATCTTCTGATAATTTTGATATATCTAAACTTTTTAGAGAGGTAGCACAATGATTACTTTCACATATTCATTATTTCAGGATCATGGACAAGGCTGGTGGAGTGAGTTTCCTCTCACTAGGGGTGTGCAAAAAAACCGCAAAACCGCAAAACCGAAAAATCGAGCCGAACCGGCCAATCCGAAACCGAAAAAACCGAAACCGAAAAAAACCGTAACCGAAAAAAACCGAAACCGAAAAACCCGGATATCAACGGGTCGGTTTTTGGTTCTCATATTTAGGTATCCGCGGATACCCGAACCGAACCGTTTGATAATATATATATATATATATATATATATATATATATATATATATATATATATATATATATAAAGTAAAAAAAATATTATTTCATTAGTATTGTTTTGATTGATATACGAGTTCAATAACCTAAACAAAAATCCATATCGACAGCTCCAATTTTGTAATTCTAAATTTATTTGATTTTCTTGTTATTTTTATTATTATATTTATTATACAAATTATAAGATATGATATTTA